CGGCGACTTGGGAATCTTCAACAAGACGCTAACGGAAAGTGTCAGCGGACGATAGAAACTAAAAGGCACACGTGTGGAGGCAGCATAGGGGCGGCGTCACGCTGGCTGGGACGCCGGGCTCCGCGCCAGGCCCAGCCCTTCCCTGCTGCGCTCCCAGCCGCCGCTTGAGCGCTCGTGTCCCAGCCTAAGATCCGGAAGGTTCTCAGGACCCAACGCCCCTCTGTGACACGTTCGATATTTGCAGCATAAATCTAATACATTTCACCGTTTTTTGGCTTTAAAAAAAATTTTTAAAGCATCACCTGTTTCTCCCTAAGGGGAAACAAAGTGACTGACAAGCTAAAATACGGAAATTTTAGAACCCCTTAAAGATCCCTTGAGGAGCACGGGAAGAGCCAGCTGTGCCCGGCCACACCCGGGCTTGGCTCCCTGGGGAAGGCCTTGGGGAGGGAAGACGAGTCCCAGGCTGCCCAGCAGCCGCAGCTCTGGGCGGCCTCCCCGGACCCTCTCTCCTCTCAGCAGCTGTCCTCGTGTCCGGGGCTGGCGGGGGGACAGACCCCAGCTGTCCCCAGGCCGGGCCCCAGAGGCTCTGGCACTGTGGGTGGAGAGGGGCCCACCTCGCCCTGGAGACTGTTCCCCCAGGGCACAGGGACCTCGGCCGGACCCCCGGCGGCTGCCTCAGGGCCCTAGAGGACGTCACCGGGCAGCGGGGACCTGTCACATCTCATCACCACACCGACAGGGCTGGCGTCGGGATAGCACTGCGTCTAAAGTGTCACATGAGCAAGTGAGACTCACGTGCTCATGCACTCGTGTGTTCCTTTGTGCACCGTGAAACTAATTCCACAGATATGTACAGAGATGTGTACAGAGCTCGTCAAAGGGGAAGAGCGAAGGTGCTAGCAAAGTCCCGTGTGAGGGCCTCTCCCCTGCGCTCTGGCTGCCGGTGGGGTCGCGGGGCCGGCGGCCGTCGTCCTCTGACCCAAAGACACCAGCAGCCCGGACTCCGCAGCCAGGACATGGGAGAAGTCACCTCATCTCCATTGGTTTCCTGGTGTTGCCGTGGCAAAGTGCCGCCCGCCTGGCAGCTTGGACAACAGGAGTTTGTTCTCTCTGGTCCTGGAGGCAGCAGCCCGAGACCATGGCGGCGTTGGCGGCGTGGGTTCCTTCCGAGGCGTCCCTCCCTGGCTCTCTGTCCAAATCTCCCCTCTTCAGAAGGACGCCAGTGGGGCTGGGTCAGGGCCCACCTTAGTGAGCTCATTTTAGCTTCATTAATTACCTCTGCAGAGACCCTCTCCCCAAATAAGGTCACATTCACAGGGACAGAGAGTTAGGACTTAGCACACAAATGTGGGAGGACACAATTCAGCCCATGATAATCTCTGAGCTTTCATCCCCTAGTTTAAAGCAAACCCGATGGTGATAACACCTGCCCCACCCTCCCAGAGCACGTCCACCAGCCTGGGGCCGCCAGGTGTGCTGTGAGCATCCAGGGCTGTGCGGACGGGAGCCACCGGCTTCCTCGCCAGGTACGAGAGCAGGAGAGACAGGGACTCACACGTCCCGGTGACTCTCAGGAAACCAGGGCTCGCAGGCGGGAAGAGGACGTCAGCACGTGGTCCCCCAGCAGAGAAAATCCTTTGAGAAAAGCCAGGTTTCCCCGAAGAGACGCAAGCATGAGGTCAGGACCGTCTGGCCCCAGCAATCTGTTTCCCCCGGTAATCACACCACCTGCCTGGCCCGTGGCCTTGCACGCCAAGACTCGCTCGTCAGCGGCAATAAAAAAATAAAATGAAACAAAAAAGAGGCAGTCCCTCGGTGGGAGGGCCTTCGGCGTTTCGTCTGAATTCCATAATGAATAATTTACATGGAGGCCGTACTGGAGCCCGGCGCTTCTCCATAAACGTTCCACGGGAACGTAAGCAGATATTTCAACATCAGTGTCTCTCCGGCGGTTTGGGCTGACGGCCCGAATCAGATTTGAGTTGCTGCATTGCTTATTTACGAAAACTATCATAATCTCACTTTTATTTGCATTTTCCCGAGCACTCGTGGGGTGGTGAATTTGGGAGGCCTGAGCAGCAGAGGCAGCTGCTTCTGTTGGATCCAGGAGGAGAGGGGGATTGTGAAATTTGGAGCAGGAAGTAGGGAGAGGGGCTCAGCTGTCTGCGCACTTTTTGCCGCACAGCAGCAATTAGGAGGACAAGGAGGGGAGACGCCACCTGGTTTCTGGGACGTAGAAGCAGCGTGTGGCCGTGTGGCCTGGGCTGAGGGCGGAGGGGTTGGGGGTTCCCCAGGATCCCACGTCAGGGGCTTGAGGGGTCCAGAGTGTGGGCTTGGGGACGGGGACCCGGCTCAAATCCTCCTCCTGGCTGCGCTATTTGGTCTCTCCAAGCCTTTGTTGTCCTCATTTGTAAAATGAGAAAGCAGGAACCTGGCTATCAGGACTGTCCCGAGAATTTAGTGTGGTGACAGGACCCCATGGCCAGGACGTTGTCACTCATACCTGACAATGCTTGCAGCATGGAAGGAGCACGCCGCTACGGGGAATGGTTGTTTGTGTTTCTGTTTTTGAGACGGTCTCGCTCCGTGAGCCAGGCTGGAATGCCGTGGTGCAATCATAGCTCACTGCAAACTCAAACTCCTGGGCTCTGGCGATCCTCCTGCCTCAGCCTCCTGAGAAGCTGGGACTACAGGTGTGCACCAGCTAACTTTTCTATTTTTTTGTAGAGATGAAGTCTCATTCTTGCTCAGGCTGGTCTTGAACTCCTGACCTCACGTGATCCTCCCACCTCAGCCTCCCAAAGTATTGGGATCACAGGCGTGAACCATTGTGCCTGGCCGAGAACAGTTATTTTGGACATCACTGTTTCCGTGGTGCCAGGGAGGGGTGGCCCTGACTCAGCTGCAGCATCAGGGATGCAGCCCCCACCCATATCACTGTCCTGGGGTTCCCATGTCCTCAGCTGTAATGTCTCTTAACATTTTCTCTTTCTCCTTTGTGAATTCACCTCTTTGCAGCATGGAATCACTCACGTGTGCTCAGCGGGTGGCTGAAGACCCCAGTAGCACACACTGTCCTTCTGTGGGCTCCCCGGACAGCCGGCCCTCTGCAAGTCCAGGGGGCTGAAGGAGACCCCAGACCCAGCTCCTCCGCCCTTTTCACTCCAGCCAGATGGACAGAAAGAAAACCAGATCTCAAAGTACCACCAAGTCAGCAGTGACTTTACGGTTTGTTTTCCTCCAGTGTCACCTGGCCTGCACGCAACACAGCTTGAAACCCAAACACGGGCGTCTGCACAGACAGAGGACGCTCTAGGGGAAGCCCTCTAATTCCGGCTCCAGGAGCGTGAAAACAGTCTCCTATTGCTCAGAGGAAAAGTGGAAAGTCCACATCTTTTCCCTTCTCTGTGCTCGCACACTCTAGCCCCCAACAAATCCCGTGGCAACATTGGCAGAGGCACCAACAGGGACACACAAGAGCCGAAACCCTGGAGGAAGGGAAACCTCCTCTACAGCCAGTGGATGTGTGATCCCCGAGGGCAGGGCAAACCCCACTGCTCTCTTTCCTCGTTCTGTTCTCCAGCACCTGGCACCAGGTAAGGGCATGGTCACAGAAGAACGGGTCAGAGCGGTGCAACTAGAGCCCTAGATTTCTGGCCAAAGCACCAAAATGAACCAAAGAGTATGGAGAAGATTGCAGAAATGGGAAAGTTTTGGATAACAATCCCGTAAAATTAGTTGCAACCTCCTGGCCTCACCCTCCACGCTGCACACAGCACAGACTGATCCTAGGCAGTACAGCAAAGACGTCAAGACCTGAGTCACCTGAACTGAACTATCCACTACTAGATAGCACACACGTGCGGGAAAGATCTGAACGGTGCTCCAAGGCCTTTGAAAACTGACCTGTCATTGGAACCACAACCCACAGAAGGTGAGTTGCAACATGAGGCTTGAACTCCACCAGGTTTGCTGCTTGCCTAAACAAATATGTCACATTTTCCAAAGGATTTAAACAAAGCCCAGAGTCTCAGAACATGCCAAATGCCCAGGGTATAATCCAATACTATATAGCATACAAAGAATCAGAAAATCTCAACTCACATAAAAAAAGACAAACATTGCCAATGAAAAGATGACATGGATTTTAGGGTTATCTGATGAAGATGTGAATGCAGCTATCATAAAAGCGCTCCAACAGGCAATCGCAAACACGCCTGAAACAAAAGGAAAGATAGAGTCTTGGCAAAGTGGAAGACAAAAAGAAAAACCACGTGGGAATTTCAGAACCGCAAAAAACAATAACTGTAATTTTTTTTAAAAAACTAGCTGCATAGACTCAAAGTAGATCAGAAATAATAGAAGAGTCAGTGAACTTGAAGCTAGATCAATAGAAATTGTCAAATCTTAACAGAGAGAATAATTATTGGAAAATATAGAGATTCGGGAACCTCTAGGATGACCGAGGGGAAACAAGTTCTAACAGTCACATCACCGGAGTCCCAGAAGAAGAGAAGTAAGAGTGCAATGCGCAGGGGGATTGCTGGAGCCCGGGCAGCACCCTGGACAGCGCTGGGCGCGTGCGAATGGTGAGTGGCTGCGGAGAACCGCCTGCGGAGACGGGGCTCCTCAGCCCCAGCGGCGCCCCAAACCCAAGCCAGCTGTCCGCAGGCACGCCACCCCGCGCCGCCCACAGCCACACCCCTGCCGGCGCTCCTTCCCTCCTCCCGCAAGAGACGGAATCAGCTGTTTCCGTTTGGGAGACCGCACCACCGGGGCGACTTAAACAACAGAAACGTGTACACTCACGGTTCTGCAGGCCGGAAGGCTGACGTCAGGGCGTCCGCAGGGCGGGCTCCTCCCGGAGGCCGTGCAGGGTGTCTGGGCCGGGCCTCCGTGTAGCTCCAGGTGGCCGCTCGCAGTCCCCCGCACGCGCGCTGCAGATGCACCACCTGCCTTCTGCTTTTACTGCGCGTGCGCGTGTGCGTGCCCGTGCGAGTGTGCGTGCATGTGCGTCTGCGTACGTGCGCCTGCGTGCGTTTGCGCCTGCGTGCGTGCGTGTGTTCCCCTTCCTACAAGGACCCCAGTCATGCTGGATCAGGGTTCACTCCAATGACCTCGCCCTAAGTGGTTACACCTGCAACAGCCCTGTTTCCAAGTAAAGCCACTTTCTGGGGGGCTGGGGTAAGACTCCAACGCAGGAATCTGGGGGGGACATGATTCACCCCGTAGCCCCTCGGGTTGCTAGGCGCTACAGCCTTTTGTCACCGAAGAGCTTGTTAGGAGGGGCCTTCGCGTCACAAAGGGGCTCTGATGGGGGCGGTCACACGGGGGCCCCAGCGGAGCACAGCTGGGCTGCAGGTGTCCTGTGGCCCCGCGGACGCCCTGTGTGTTTATGGCTCTCCCCCTGTCCGCCAGGCGGACCATTGTTTAGGACAGAGATGGCCCTTCCAGATTACCGGTTTTAGGGGAGGCGGTCAAACGGAGGAGGACGCGGAGCCAGCCGTGGGCGTCGCTGCTACCCAGGCGCCTCAGGAGCCAGCAGACCAGACACGCCACAGACGAGGCCCAGCTGAGCCCCCACCACCAGCATCCCCCCCAGAAGCCATGGGCACCACCGGCTTCCGAGGAGTAGCAGGAAAGAAGCTAAGTTCCCAAATGCCATGGCTCTAATTTCCCCCGCCCAGCGATCGCCCCCTGGTTGCATTTCCTGTGGGTCCCGGTCATCACCCACTGTGCCCAGGGTGGTATCAGAAGGCCGCCCCAGGGCCCGGTGACTGGCAGCTGGGCCCAAGCATGGCCCCGAAAACCCAGCAGGCACCTGGGCAGGGCCAGGAGGGGTCCCCTGGGGTGTCCCAGCTGAGACCACAGAGAGACATCCAAAGAGGTCCCTGGCAGTACAGCCAGACGTCCTGTTAGCAGGAACTTAATAAACGCTAGCATGAAATATTTATGCACTTACAGCAGCTTAGGTAATTTAAGTTTGCTAGAAATCAACGTCGTGTGTTCGTCTTTAATGAGCTTCTGCGGAGCAGCCTTCTCTACTGCAGGCAGGTGTTGGGGCAGCAGCCTCCGCAGCCAGATGCAGCTGGATCCCCGCAAACGGTGCTGAGCGGAGCTCGGAGGCCGGGGCTCTGCCTGGGACTGCACGGCCTCCTTCCGCTCCCCCGTTCTCCCCGGCACAGGAGGACACTGGACACCCCTAAGCAGAGCTCACAGGCCTCTGCGGTCAGCTGAGCGAGACCCCCAAAGTCGATAACTTTATGAGTCAAGTTGACGGGGCTGGCCCCCAGCTAGCGGGTAACACCTCATGCCCGGGTGCATCCTGAGGATGTTTCTGGACAAGATCAACGGCGAATGAGGAGACGGAGTAAAGATCCACCCGTGGGATCCTCCGATGTGCTGAGGGCCCGGCTAGAACAGAAAGGCGGGGGAAGGGCAAACTCATTCTCTCCTGGAACTGAGACATCTGTCTCCTGCTGGCCTTGGGACGTCACAGCTCCAGGTTCTCGGGCCTTCAGACCCAGGAGACCGGCGGCCCCACGGTTCGGAGGCTTTCCTAGGTCTTCACTTGCACATGGTGGGGCGTCTCTGCCTCTGCGGTCACATGAGCCAACTCCCACGGTAAGTCTCCTCTTTCATATCCAGATAGATGGATCGATAGATCGATATCGATATATAGCCATATGGGGAGAAAAGCGTGTATCCTATGGGTTCTGTTTCCCTGGAGGGTGCTGACCAACACGGGAAGATCATGCTGGATCTTCTCGGTGGGCTCAGTGTGGTCACACAATGTCCCTACGGGAAGGGTGGGGGCAAAGTGGGAGAGACGCTGCTCCGGGGCTGGCTGTGCCGCAGGAGGGAGGGACCACAGCCCAGGAGTGTGGCCACCTCTAGAAGCTGGAAAGGCAAGGAAATTTCTAGAATCCCCAGGAGAAACACAGCCCTGAGGACCCACCATAGATTTCCGACCTCCAGACCCCAAGAGAACGAAGTTGCTTGGCTTCAGGCCCCTGACCTGGTGGTGATCTGTTCAGCAGCAGCAGGAGCTAGCACAGTGACCTCATCCAGCTTCCTCCAACCAAGGGGGCAAGGCTGGCCACGCGGGTGCTCCACGAGGCCAGCCCACACCCCCCCCCACCACGTCCTGACTCTGTGGGCAGGCGGCTTGTCCCCTCAGTGCCTGAGTTCACCTCCCAAATTAGGACAGTGGTGTATCCTGGGGACTCGTGTCTGTTTGCCCCCAAAGGTCTCCGAATCTGCTCCCTCCCCCCGGCCTCACAGCCCCCGGGTTCCCGGAGCACCCCTCCCTCACCGTCTCCCCAAGTCTGTGGATCGCACCCCTGGAGCTGCACCTGCCCTCTCAGGGCCACACGGGAGTGGCACGAGCTAAACATGCTGCACACAGAGAGCTCTGGCCATGTAGCTGCCCCGGGGAAACCCGGGCCTAGTGGGGACACCGTCGTGCGAGCGTGACTGCGTCTCTAAGGAAAGATGGCGTGAGGGCGCAGACGCAGCGCCCACAGCTCAGCGAGGGGTACACAGGCGAGAGGGTGTGGACTTGGCTCTGAGTGAAGGGAGGGGTTTGGGCTGGCAGGATGACACGCAGGACTCGGGTGACATGCCAACGACCTTGGAGAACTCGAAATGAAGCAGAGACGCCTCCCAGTCCCAGCACCCACCGCAGAGAGAGAGAACCGAGCTCCCCAGAAAGTTCCATCCAAGCCTCCAGCGCAGAAGTGGCCCTGGCCGAGCCCCGGGGCACAGCTGGAGTGTCACTCGGCCCTGCCTTCCGGAAGCCCCAGGTCTGGATGGAGGGAAAGACGTGAGCAAGGTACCAAGGTCACTTCTGTGCAGAGGGCCCTGCGGCAGGCCTGGGGGGCTGAGGTGCAGAGCCCACCCCGAGGCCAGGACAGGTGTCCAGGAGGACAGCGTCATCGAACTGGGCTCAGCCAGCATCAAGCACCTTCTAGGAATGTGGCACCTGGTTACAGACTGTTGGGACTCGGGAAAGGATTCCAGATGGTCCCCACCAAGAAAGGCATTTGTCATCCGGTTGGAGAGAGACTTGGCACGATTCTCTCAGACCCAGGAGGCAGTGAGGACCTCCCGGGCGGCACGGTTCATGGAGGGACCCTCTAGCCAGGAACAGAGGTTGGGGGTGGCGTGTGGAGGGCAGGAGGGGACTCACTCGAGTGGCCAGTGGCCATGTCTCTGATGGTTCTGGCCTGGGTGGCTGGGAGGACAGAGCCCCTCAGCCAGAGGAGGGACGCGGTCAGGGAGCAGGCATGGGACGCAGCTGTGGCCGTGGCTGGGGGCCGTGGAACCTCCTGGTGGTGGTGGCAGCTCGCTGCAAGACAAGCAGCAGGAAGAACGGACCAGACGGAGGCCGAGACTCTCCAAACCCGAGCGCCTCATTCCTCCCACCACTGGGAATGTCCCCTCCAGGTCCCTTGTTCTTCTCCCGGTGCTGACAGCTGGAGGAGTTAGCTGTCACTCCTCACTCATGTCGGCAGGCAAGGCCAGGTGCAGAGATGCTGCTTAAGAAAAGTCTGGAGGGTTTGTGGGGGCGCCTCCCAGGCGGGGGGTGCAGGTGACTTAGGCCGGGCACTGGGCGGGGAGGTGGGGTCCCGAGGAGGAGGAAGGAGCCAAGGGGTCAGTCGCTGCTGCCGTCCCGCCTGGCTGGCTCTCCCCACAGCCACCCCAGGTCAGTCTCTCCAGCGAGGCCCCGGGAGGGCCGACTTCAAAAGGGCCTCGTCTGAGGAGCCGTCCTGGCTCAGCCGGCAGCTGTCAGAGCGTCTGCAACGACTTCAAACTTTCTTAATCCCTCAGACTCTGCAAGTGTCTTACATAATCCATCTGTCCATCACCAGGGCAGCGTGGAGCACAATGGGAAAGGCTGTCCCCAGATGACCCTGGACCGCAGGCCAGCTGGGGACCGGGCTCCCCCTTCTCAAAGCAAACAGACGCCACCCAGGCCAGGAGGCCGCAAACCCCACGGGCCCAGGGGCCTCAACTGTGGGGCAGCTGGCGTTTCCAGACATCACCTGGTGCAAAAAAATGACAAAGCCGGTTTCTCCCGAGTGCCCTGCAAGGAGCTGGGATGTTGGGGGAGGCCAGGCCCACACCACCACCCCCCGTCATGGTCTGACCCGGGGCTGCATCTGGCTCCCGTCCCTAGAGTGGAGTCTACCCACTGTCCCGCACCACGTGACGTCGAAGGATGAGCCCAGACCCTGGTGAGAGTCACTGGGGAGGATGAGGACAGCAGGACCCAGACGGCCACCTGGCAGGACACCAAGTCCTGACCGTCACCCAGGTGTGACCCTGAGAAGGTGGCAGCATCGAGGCAGCGTCCAGGCCGTGGTGCTGAGGGCTGGGGCCTGGGAAGTTGCTTGGCACTTTGGCACCTCGGTTTCCTCATCTGCACACTGAGGAAGGAGGAGGTGACCATCTGCAAGCGCTTACCATGCGCCAGGTACCGTCTGGCAATTCACAGGCAGCCACTCACCTTCTCGTGTAATTGCCGCCCGAAATAAGAGGCACAGCAGGACTTTTCTGTGCCTAGAAAGTTCCCTGGGCCCCCTCCAGCCCATCACCTCCCTGCCAGAGGCCAGGGCTGGTGCGTTGAGAAGCTTGATGGAGATGGTTTTAGGAGACCTGCCTGCCCGTCTCCAAGGCCCTCAGGCCACCAGTGCCCAGTGTTGCCTCACACCCGAAGAACTGGGCAGGGGAAGGTGCTGCTCAGTGAACAGCTGGGGGCAGGTGGCACAGGTGGGTGTGAGACCCAGGTACCTCTCGCTCCAGACGTGCAGTGCACCCAGCCCACCTGAGCTTGCAGGGTGTGGGCGCAGAAACCAAGAGCCCAGGGCGGCAGGCTGGGAAGATGCCCGGGGCAAGTCCGGGGCAGGGACCTGCTCCTACAAGCGCAAAGCGCCACAAGGACTGGACAACTGGGCGTCTTCATCTCTTCCTCCGGGGCTCCGTGGAGCTGGCGGCAGCCCCTGTGTAGCTCAGAGAAGGTGGCTCCGGTTTGGATCTTTCTCTGTAGTTCCATCTGTCGATCAAAGCACCCGTGGAGCGTGAGTAGGCGCACAGCTCCTGAGGTCACTCCTCCTTCACTGTCTGGTGCCCCAGCCAGCCACCCACCGACCTTTGCCCCGCCGGTCACCGGGTAAAGTGGCAGAGAGAACGCGGTGGTCTCAAGACTCGCCCAGCCCCTGGGCCTCCACCCCGTGCCCCTTGCAGAGGATCATCTCCCTGGGCAGGGAGGAGCGCCACCATCCGCCACCGCTGTTCTTGAGCACGGCAGGGGTCCGGATACCGATGACTGTCATCCCCGTTGGGAAAAGGGAAAAGATTGTCCCTGCGAAGGCGGCTGGTGCCGTGGGCTGGGATTAAGTGGCAGGAGTTATTCCTTCGCTGACGCCTTCCTGGCACACAAAGGCTTCCTCCCAACCGCGTGGGAGACCCACGTGAGCGGCAAAGCCACAAATAGCCCCGGAGAGGGCGAGCCCTTTGTCACTGGCGGATCTCCCGACAGGGCCCAGAGGGAGGGAAACGGGGCGTCTCGCTGGGAGGACGAGGAGCCCTGGGGTGCCTCGTGCTCCGAACTCGGGGCCCCCTGCCTACTGTTTGCCGAGCCCAGGGGTGGTGACCCTAGACATAAATCCCCTGTGTCATTAACGCCTCTGGAAGGCTCCGGGCCTCCTCTGCGCGGTCACGACCTGCCGTCACGCCAGCGCTCGGGGCTGTCTGCCGCGGGTGGACGTGGATGAGAATCCCACCTGGGCCGTTAGCCAGCAGAGTTTCCTGGGAACTGTGCCGCACGGATGTCAGCAAAGTGCCTCCGGAGACCGGTTCTCATTCCCGGGACCAGAAGCGCAGGTGCTTATCCTGAAAAGGGAGGCGACTTGCCGACTCCCCGACCCCCTGGGGCAAAGAAGGGCTCTCGCCGGCCA